GAATTATTTCATTCGGGTCGTAGTTTTGCAGCTTCGGGCCGTTCGGTTTTGCTTGCCATATTGGCTGCCATATTGTTCACACTGTCATCGCCATATTGAACACCCTGTCAACTAGCTGTCAACCCTAAGATATCTCACTTGTATTCTTCCACAATGACCTTAAGTTGTCACTCAAATATTTAGGAAGAGTTCCGTTTTTAATATTATGAATAAATTTCATTGTGTGGAAGAAAATCATCTGTTACACATTTAACCATTTTAAATTATTTAGCATTGAAGAAACACTGGTGTCATACCGCGCTTTAAGCATGTATCCCATGGCTCTATTTTGCATTTGTTGTAGCCTATTTAATTGTGCGTCAGGTGTTATAAATAAAATAGTAGGACAATATTTGAGGTGAGGCTCTATAATTGATCTATAAACTAGTATTTTATATCTCCTACTTAAGTATTTACACGTTCTTTTCATTAAACCAATTTTTTCGATATTTTTTTATCGTAAATTCATTATTATCGTGGATCTTTAATTTATTATCAATTATATTACCGAGATATTTAATTTTAGTTACTTCTGCAATAATTTCATTCTTAACATGCAACTTTTTTCATTAGATGAAGAAATTAAATTGTAGTTAGTCTTTTTCACATTTAACATTAATTTGTTTTTGCATAGCCAAACATATAATGAGTCTAAGTCATTTTACATTTTATCAAATGCCGTGCTTAAATTATCTTCACTAATTGTTAAGAGCGCGTCGTCGGCAAACAGTCTTATCTTGCAATGTCTAGTTGCTGATATAATATCATTGATATATATGTTGAAAAATATCTGCGCCAGTACTGAGCCCTGTGGAAGTCCAATACCAACGGGCACGTCCTCTGAAACCGCTTCATCAATCACCGTACATTGCCTTCTGTTTGTTAAGAAACTCTCGAACCACTTCAATTCTATCTCTTTGACGCCAATTTGCTTTAGTTTATTCTTCATTAATTTTCTGTCAATAGTTTCAAACGCCCTTTTAAGTCGATAAAAACCGCCAGTATAATTCTTTTGCTTCTAATTTCTTCTTTCCATAGAGAAATGACTCAATTAAGAGCCGTCTAACAAGAATGTTTTACTCGAAACCCTGACTGTTCTTTAATTAGTATGTTATTAGTTTCGATATACTCGACCAGCTGATTTTTCACCACTGTTTCCAGTAATTTCTCAATGGTAAAGTATTAGTTGGTCGACATTCTTCAGGTTTGGTTGTGTTCCTAACCTTCTTTCCTGGAACTACTGTAGAAATTTTCCATTCATCTGGTACTACGCCGTTCGTTAAACTTTTGTTGATAACTACTGAGTAATAATAACCCAAGTATGGCAGAGAATCTCTAATTACGCCTTCCGTCAGCAGCTTTTTACCACCAATTTTGGTTTTAAACTTTTTCACAATTCGTAGTATGTCTTCTGTTATTATTTCATCATGTTAAATGTTGTATCAATATCGTAATAGCTATTTTCGTTGTTTTCAATATATTCAATACTCTCGTTTATTTGCACAATACTTTCAACAAAGAATGTATTTAACACCTCTGCTATCTGCTTTTTATCGTCGATGCATTGACCTTCATGACTTTTCAACGCTATATTCTATTTTATCTAGATAACACACGATCTGCTTTAAATATCTCCACATTAATTTACTGTTAGAATTATTAGCTATGACTTTTTACAAATATTTTGTTTTCTTTTGTATGCCTTTTTAATACTATAGTATTCAGACCATTCACTACTTGCTTTAGCTAAATTATAAGCCGCCACTTTACTTTTGCTTAATTGTGCCACTTCGTGATCATACCATTTATTTTTTGTTTTTACATTCATTTGTTTCACACACGTTAAGTGTTGTATACAATTTAGCAAACATGAGTTTATGTATGCTATCATATCATCTAATGGGCTGTTTTTGCTTACGCGTAAAAGCACATTTAGAGCATTTAGCTCTAAATGCTACTCTAAATGTACATTTATCCATACAAAATTCGTCACCTAAATGCAACTAAATGCAACTCCATTCTTGCATTAAGAATCTAAATGCTAAAAGCAACCCTGTGATCTTCCAAAATCTCCACGATTCGAACATGGTTTAAAGAGAAAAAGTGGCAACATTGCTTTTTCGAGTATACAGTTGCTAGCTGCGTTTCAGTGATCGCCGATCGAGATTTCTTTTATTTTACATTACATATTTGGATAAAGAAAAGTTAAGCAAATTCAACATCGATGTGATGCTGATAGAAATCTGGATCAATTTGTGATCAACTCTGTTTGGTTTGTTTCCTAATTAAGTGAGGAAATTTTAATTAACAGCACCGACAAATGAATATATACACAAACAAATGTTTGGTTATGGTTAAAACAACTCAAGTTTTTGTATTGAGTTTTTGGTTTAAAATTAATTTTTTCCTTTTCAGTAGGGTTTTTGCACATTTTCTTCTGCGTGAGAATTGATCGTAATATATACGGATCTAAATAAGAGACTGGAACACGGCTGTTTGCCAAAAGCATACGATTTCGAACTCGCGTAAATGTACATTTGCTAAATGCTATAGCATGAACGCTCTTCGAAAAGATATGTTCGAAAGTGCTAAATGTTGCATTTTAAATGCAGCAAAAACGCTGTATAAGTTCAGTTGGTTAATTATTGAAAAGTTATACCTCCTAAGCATATCTATTAGATTATCACAGCTATATTGTTCTCATGAAACTACCTTTGTCACCGTTCTGGGTGAGATTTGGGTTTTGATATTAATATTGAACATTTGGAGTGTTCGCTATGCAACTGCCAGTAAGAATTAGCCAGTAACAAAATTCAGAGAATAAGGTATCTTACTCTCCCAAAGAGAGAAACTTACTGAGTTTTGCGCGAACAGGAATTAGCAAACATTTGCAAGCAAGTTACAAAAACAGCTGTTTGCTTTCAAAGTTGCATTTGAATGTGTACGCGTTCACAGTTGCTTTTGAATCCGTTCAACACAGTTGGTTTTTTGTTTTCTGCTTAGAAGTAATTTGCTAAGTATTATAATAAAATTACTAATTTTACGGCTTGTTTATATTTTAATTTATTAGATATATTGTAATTTAACAAGTCGGAGCAATGGAAAACAAGGGAAAATTGACTTTGCAGTGTTCTCCAGGCACGTTCCAAAAAGTGCAAAATGGTAAGCAATGATACTATAGTCCAACAAATAAAGTAATTAAAACAACTAACAAACATTTCTATGTACATGTTCATGTGTACCTGCATACATACATATATATATACATATATATACATATAAATTTTGTTAATTGTAGATACGGAGTATAGAAATAAAGTGGTACAAGATGCTGCTGGTGACGACTTTTACGAAGAAATTGATATTTCGCAATATAGTGCCCTTGCAACTGCGCCAGGAGTAATTGGCGATCCTGATTATATACCTATATGCCCCCCTGTGGGCACCAACAAGGGACCAGTTAGCGCCGGTACTGACGACTGCATGACTGATTTCGCTACCGACAGTGAGGCAATAGATAATGCGGATGAAGACGGAGAAGAGCCTCTCAGCTTTGAGCCCGGGTGTAGCAAAGAAACGCCTGATAAAAAAACGACTTGGCTTGATGCTCCCATGAAGTTTTTAATATCCAGGGTTAAGGAGTTGCGACCAAAAGTTGGCAAAAGCGCAAAGTTGAGGAAAAAGCGGCAAATGTGGATGCAAATAAGTAACGAGCTGCGGGATAAGGGCTATGCTTTCAGTTGGCCACAAGTGGAAACTAAATTTTTCAGCTTGGAGCGTCAATATAAAAAAGCTCAGCTACATAACTCCAAAACGGGGCGAAATCGACAATTTTGCCCTTACCAAGCGTAAGTTAAAAATATTTAACATTTTAATGGAATAACCCAGCATACCTAAATACTTCTGTATGTTGTTTTTAAATTACCAGTTGGTCCCAAACTAGTTGGTTCCAAAGTAGCTAAACTAAACAAACTCTGAATTAGTCCCGAAAATGCCGAAGCAGTCTCTAAAATCACGAAATTCTTTATATTTACACTGGATAAATAGCAAGTATTTTGTATTGAATGAAGTAATTTATTTAACAGTGAATTGGATGACCTACTTCTGGAGAGAGTCGCCATAAACCCACAATACCTCATAGACAGTGAAAGCAGCTGCAGAAGTCTGGAAGAAAGTTCTCAGTCGGCACCAGCTACCCCGGGAAAAATCATAATCGCAAAACCTGATTTTGATTCCGATTTATTTATTCTCTTTTATATGTCATTTTATTTTAGAAAACCCGGATGTAACGCCATCCTGCTCCCAAAGAAGGGGAAAAAGTAATTTTGACCTTATATGGGAGAAGCTTGACAGGGATGCTGAAAACCAACGGAAGA